ATTGATTTGAATGTTGTTAAAAGGGGGATCTCAGCCGCTGTGACACCGTTAGAAGCTAAAATTGCCTCATTTGGGACTGCTATTCATGATATGGAGCGGGCTGCTAATGATCAGGAGAGGAGGCTACCTGGCTGGATGCATGGAAGTAAACTGAATAGAACTGAATTCCAGTCTCAGTTGCTGCCATGGTTTCTCTCTTCTCAGATTATCCAAACGGCGTTCGCCTGACTTCCGCAATTCCTGGATCAGACATCAAGGTCCTCATCAACTTCAACGCCCCCAATCCTCAGGATCGCAAGAAATTTACTGATGATTTACGAGAATCTATTGCTGAAGTTCAAGAGATGGAGAAATGCCGCATAGAGTGTAAGCTGAGCTTTTCTCTGGTCTCTCTTCATGTTCTTGTTCATTTTGAATACACTCCATAACAGAGGCTCTGATCCTGCATCATGTCTGTCTGCTGCACAGCTGAACTGGAAAAGCAGAAGGGTTTGGTGAGGCCCAGCATGTATCAGTGTTCCGGGTTAAAATCTGAGGCTGGAAACGGTAACCTGAGCCGAGCCAGCCTGGATGACAGCTATGCCATCAGTGAGGGTCTGAAGAGGAGCGCGCTCAGCAGTTCCTTGCGGGATCTCTCAGATGCAGGTAAAGTCCAGCAGTCCCCATTCTTTAGTTGCAGGCGTCTTTCTGAGGTTCTTAGTACATCTGGAAAAAGTTTAAATGGTGGATGTAACAATCTGACTGCCAGTAAATATACTTAGTTCAGTAGAGGTCAGAGTGACCACTGAGAGGGCACCTCATCTAAAAACCAGCCTGTCCTGAGATCAGTCCTGAGATCAGTCCTGAGATCAGTCCTGAGATCAGTCCTGAGATCAGTCCTGGGATTGGTCCTGGGGTAATTTCTTAGATCACTGTTGGAATCAGGTGTGAGATTGGCCCTGAGTTCGTCTTTGGATCTTTCCTGAGATTTTTCCTGGGATTACTCCTGGGATCAGTCATGGGATCAGTCTGGAGATCAATCCTGGAATAAGTCCTGGGATCCGTCCTGGGTTTATTTCTTAGATCAGTTTTGGATTCAACCCTAGGGATCAGTCTGGAGATCAGTCCTTAGCTCAATCCTTGGATAAATCCTGGGATCACTCCTTGGATTGGTCCTGGGATCAGTCCTGGGATTGGTCCTGGGATTGGTCCTGGGATCAGTCCTGGGATTGGTCCTGGGATCACTCCTGGGATTGGTCCTGG